TTGTGCAGCTTTGTGATAGAATTCTGCCCCTTGATGAGCAAGCCTTGGTTTAAATGGGAAAAAGAAAATAGTACTATATACACAGATAAACAGGTAGGTCATGGGTACACAGACAAAAATATTTTGTTCTGAGTATATTTTCTTGTTTTATAGAGAAATACTTTAAAGTATGAAGATAGTATTGACAAAGTTTGGAATAGTATTATCCGTTGTGATTAATCATTGTTTTTGGTTATGGTGGACCAGTAGTACAGTTACGGAGAATGAAATTTTGTGTTTGTGTGTCCCTAGAATCTTACAGGCAGTTTTACTTGCTGGCTAGGACGCTAAGCGTAGGGCCTTAGAGTCAGGCCACTTTGCTTTAAGTGTTACCATTTCCTAGCCATAGCCGGTGCTGGGCAGATGACCTAACCTCTGTGCTTTGTTTTCTTTTGTACACAGTGGTAGTGAGATCAGCCTCACAGGGTTGGAAGTTGTTAGCATATTGAAGGATACAGTGTGCTATACCTGGCACTACGAGTGGCTCCATGACTGTTAGCTCTCACCCCAATCATTGGAAATATAAGGTGTATGGACGGTTTCACTTGGGAACACAGTCCTTTGCCCCATCTCTGTCTGCAGACACAGGACCGAGCAGCAGCCCAGTGGAACCAGTGTCCCTGGTGCTTCTCTTGTCTCGGGTATTTTTTTTTGTCTTTTTGAGACAGGGTCTCCCTGCAGACCAGGTTGGCCTCGAGCTCACAGAGATCCGCCTGCCTCTGCCTCCCGAGTGCTGGGATTAAAGGCGTGTGCTACCACGCCAGGCTTTCATCTCGAGTATTTTAGCATAGCTTATTCTTTCTCTCTTTTGCCTCCTCCTTCCCTCCCCCTTCTCTTTTTTGATGCAGAACTTTATTAAAAGACACTAAAGAGGGCCTAAGTAAACACTGATCCCAAATTCATGACTGGGAATTTCAGTATCAAAGATTTATCTTTAAAAGAAGAACAGTCAAATATCAGTATGTCAGTAGACTCTTGAAAGCAAGGTCCTAACAGGTCAGGATAGTGTTGCTGCTAACTTAAGAGCTGGCTGTTGTATTAAGGAATGCTAGAAGACAAGCGGTCATAGAGGGTGCTGGCATGTTGAGATGTGGGGTGAGAACGTAAGCACTCAGAGGTAGAACTGAGCTCCAGTCTCTGTGCTCCTAGTAAATCGAGAATTATCCTTTCCCTTTATTATCAAGACTTACAAAACACATTTTTAATTTTTTTATGTGTATTGCCTGCTTGTGTGTAAGTACACCCATGTCATACAATGCCCAAGTATTGGCTCCCCTGGAACTGGAGTTACAGACAGTTGTTAGCTGCCATGTAGGTGCTGGGAATTGAACCCAGGACTTCTGCAAGGACAGACAGTGCTCTTAAGTGTGTAGCCATCTCTCCAGTCCCCATCAAGAAGTTTTGATTGAGGAAAGAGGGCATAGTAGAGCAGGAGCTAGGGTCTAAGTCAGGAATGGAAGACTGGAGAGCTGAGAGTGCATGAGACATGGCAGCAGGCGCGGCCCACGGAAGGCTTTGGTAGGAGAGCTGGAGAGACAGGTAGATGGAGAGGACGAGTTATGTCAAAGCAGCGTTTTCCTGCTTTGTACTTCCCAGCGGGGCACAGTGGCGCACGCCTGCAGTCCTAGCCATGAGGAGGCTGAGGAAAGAGGGTTGGGAGTGTAAAGCTAGACTGGGCAACATGGTGAGATCTTGTTTTTTTAAAAAAGTCAGATCTTCCTTATCGAATATGGTATAGACCTTTATAGTTACAGAGTTCTTCCTCATATTTTGCTTAGCATTTTCATGCCTGTGTTCATGGAGGCGTTTGAATGCCGGCCTTCCCTTTGGTTCTGTGGTCAGTTAGTATCAGGGAAATGCTGGTTTGTAAAATGAGCAGAGCCATGACAGGAGGGGGTGTTAACTCTTCTTTGGGTGCCGAGTAGAATTCTCCAGTGACACCCTCTGATGTTGGAGTTTTTTTTTCTTGGGATGGGGGAAGGGTTGATTTTAAATTTGGAGTCAATTTGTTTGATATTTACGACTAATTCAGATGGACTACCCCCTGTTGAGAGAGTTGTGATAGTGTTTTTCATTTGTGTGTGGAGGTGACCACAGCCTTCCTTTTTTAACTTTTCTCAGTTTTTCAGTTTTGCCCTTTTGTTTTGGTCGTCTTTCCCTCCTGTCCCCTCCCATCCCCCCACCCCTTTTGTGTAGCCCAGGTTGGCCTTGAACTCACTGTAGCTTAGGAGGACCTCGAACTCTTGATTCTCTAGTCTCAACCTGTTGGTATTACTTGTGTGGTACTGGGAATTGAACTCAGGGCTTTGTGCTTGCTAGGCAAGCGCTCTACCAACTGATCTACATCCTCAATTTGCCTGCCTTCCTTCCTTTCTCCCTTTCTTCCTCCATTCCTCCCCTCTCCTCCCCTTTCCTGCCCTTCCCCCCCTTTCCTCCCCTTTCCCCCCTCCCCTCCCCTCTTTTTTTTCTCTCCTCCCCTCCCCTCCCCTCCCCTTCTCATTGTATAGTCCAGGTTCCCCTTGAGCTCACAATCCTCATGCCTTCACCTGTAAATGATGGGATTACAGCATGTGCTATCATGCCTGGCTTCCTCTTTTCTAGTAGAAGTGTTTCAGCAGCAACTAAGCACTGGCTGCCCTTGCAGAGGGACCTGGATTTGGTTCCCAGCATCCAGGTGGCAGCTAACAACTGTCCGTAACTCCAGTTCCAGGGGATCTGATGCCTTCTTCTGGCTTCACAGGCATTGCACACAAAGGCACACTTACATATGTGCCGGCAAAACACTATACACATAAAAGGAATTTTTTAAAAGTAATCAACAGTTGGGCGGGACGTGGTGGTGCATGTCTTTAATCCCAGCTCTCGGGAGGCAGAGGCAGGCAGATCTCTGTGAGTTCAAGGCCAGCCTGGTCTACATAGTGAGTTCTAGGACAGCTGGGGCTACTGGGAGACCCTGTCTCAAAAATACCAAAAAAAAGTAATCAACAGTTAAGTTTTGAATTCTCTGATGCCAGATTGAGTCCGGAGGGAATTTAGGGAGTTGGAAAATCCTTTGTAATTTGAGAAAACTTGATGGAGTCTGGAGGACTTAAAGTGGCCCTAAAGACGCTGGCGGGAGGCTTTGGGTAAGTGGAAAATAGCAGTGCTTCTGTCAGGATGTCCGAGGGAAGCGAGAGGGAGCCGGAAAAGAGCACTGCTTGAGCTCCTCATTGTCCACATTGGGTGGGGCTTGAGAGTCCTGAATGGACCCCGGGAGGGGCAGTTAATATAGGGCAACTGGGTAGAGCACACCTGGAGGGATGCCGGCGGTGGAGCGACACTGCACGGAGCAGTTTTAACAGGATGATTGGCAGGACATGCTGGCCTGGCAGTGCACGAACAGAGTGGTGCAGCTGCGCAGTAAGCACTTCGGCAGTAAATGGACCCAAATGGAAACTTCAGCCCCATGAAGAAGCACAAGAAGACACTGTGTCTCTTACATTGTCAGATTAAGTGACATTTGGTCAGATTCCTTAGTCTCATTTACGTCTAACTGCAGCAACAGACTCTCAGGTCCCAGTGTCTTAGCCAAAGCTTATTTCTCATCCACATCAGTTGGATGAGGCTCTTCTGTGGTGACCTGGCTGCTTCCAGCCTTGACTTCATGGTTCTGGAGTGTTTCTCTGATTCTCAGGTGGCAGGAGAGGGAGAGAATCCCCACCTGCCCTAACTGTGGGTAGTGTGACGGGCACCTCGCTTTAAGGCTCTTTCCCTTTGTCAGACCAGCTATTGACAAGTGGGAGCTCTGGATACCACTTCTGGGAGGATGTGTTCTCTTCCTGGTAAACAATGATCTGGAAAACAATGAGACATTCCCACTCTGGCCCAGCAATTTCACATGAAAAATTCTATGACTCTGTACAAAGCTAGCTACAGAAATATTCACTGTAGTATTGACTATGATGAAAAATTAGAAATGAATGGTAATCAGTTATTAATGATCGTGTAGGGTGTTGGGATGATATGGAAGAATAGATAGGTCAGCCCCCATCCCCACCTCCTGCCCCCACACTCCAGCTGACTTTGAATCGGCAATGTAACTGAGGATGACCTTTAGCTCCTTTTTTAAAATTATTATTTTTTTCAATTATGTGTATATGTGTGTCTCTGTGCACATGTGAGTGCAGGCGCCCGTGGAGTCCAAGAAGACACATCAGCTCCTGGAGCTAGAGTTACAGGTAGTTGTGAGCCACCGGGCATGGGTCTTCTCCATGAGCCCTCTGTCTCTTCAGTCCTGACCCAATTCCTGATCCTTCTGCTTCACTTCCTGAGTGCTGGGATTATAGGCGTGCATCACCGTGTCCTCTCTATAAATGAAAAAAATCAGGTTGCAGAGAGGACATACGGCGTCCTACTTTTGTTGGCAGATATTTGTGGAAAAAGGAAGCCTCTGCTTTTGGCAAAACTACACATTGTGCTCCAGTAGGCATACTGTGTAGTCAAGAAAGAAAGGCACCTCCTCACTAAATAGATATGTGAAGTGTGGGAAGTAGGGCTGGAGACTCCGGCATCTGGTGAGTAGTGTGCCACCGCGCTCGGGGCATCTGCCAGGGTTAGTGACATGCATTCAGCAGAGCCTGAATTCAGGAAGAAGCCCGCGTTCGAGAGTGTTAGAATTGAGATGCCAGGCAAGAGTTCTTCAGAGGACAGAATGTCAGTAAGACCAAAAACATCTGCCACGGGCACACAGATGTTCCCCTTAGCTTGGCCTGTGGGCTGGGGGGAGAAGCAAGTACCCACTGAGAAGTCATGACTGTGGGTTTCCTGTCTGTGGATTTTGTGTTCACATCGGTAGTCGCTGTGTGGTATGGGGGACTCTGTATAGGTTGAGAAATTGATGTAAAACCCAAGGCTGATAATATGACAGCGGTATCTGTCTGACACAGACTTTTCTAGAGCGATGCACATCGATTTCCCTGAAAGAAGCACTACCAAAGAAAAACAGTCCAGACTTACAGAGCTTGAAGCACCTGCCATTTCTTCTCAGCCAGATTCAGCAGGTAGAACAAGGTGGACCTGGGAGGAAAAGGACTTAGGGAGCAGGAGGAAGAAAAGGCAATGGGACTTCTGGAAATGTACAGTAGTCACCAGAACTAAAGCCCAGCAGGTGAGCTAAGTAGAGCCTAGGCATAGAGGAGAGAACAAATAGACTGGACAGAAGAAGGCTTGGAAGGCCACGTGTGCAGAGTCTGACTTATGGCTGGCGTCTTGTAGTTTGCAAGGTAAGAATGAACTTTTGAAAAGGGGGAAGGTTCTTTTTTTTTTTTGGCTTTGAGACAGGGTCTCCCTGTAGCCCCAGCCGGCCTGGATTCATTATGGAGACCAGGCTGGCCTCCATCTCACAGAAATCCGCCTGCCTCTGCCTCCTGAGTGCTGGGATTAAAGGTGTGCGCAACCGCGCTCAGCTGGGGGTTCTTTTTTAAAGACATATGCTACAGAATTTTAAGGCCCCCCCCCACTAATATATTACCCGGTTGGCCCTTTGCTAAAGTTTGTCAACTCCTAAACTAGGCAGATGTGACGAAATTGCCAGAAGGTAGGACAAAGGACAAAGCAAAAATTATAAAAGAGATTCAGAGTGTGGAGAAGGAAGCAGGCAGTCTGACACGCATCTAAGCATCTGATAGGTATGCAGAATGGGGGATAATGTGCAGAGAAAATGGATGATAGCGTTCTAGATTCATGAAACACGAATACCGAGATTCAGAAATTTCAATGAGTTTTGAACCCAAAACATAGCAAAAACCAACCCATAAAGTCCCACAAGTAAACACTCTGCAGAATTCCAAGAACAAAAAGATTTTAAAAACAACTAGAAGGGGGCTGGAGAGATGGCTCAGTGGTTAGGAACACTTACTGTTCTTCCAGAGGACCTCAACTTCAGTTCCCAAGACTCTCATGGCACCTCACAACCATAACTCTAGTTCCAGAAGATACAATGCCCTCTTCCAGCCTCCATAAGAACCAGACATACATGTGTTGCACATACACATATGCAGGCAAAACACTCATACACATAAAAATCTTTTTTGAAAAAAAGAATTTGAGATCAACCTGGATGGACTGCATAGCAAGTCTGGGCCAGCCTGGTCTACATTGTAAGTGGGTTCCAGGACAGCTGGAGCTACAGGGAGACCCTCTCTCAAAAAGACCAAAAAAAAAAAAAAACTTGTCTCAAAAAAAAAAGTTACTATTTTTAATTATTTGTCTGTGTAAGTCATGTGTATACAGGTGCTTTGGAGGCCAGAGGCATGAGATCCCCTGGAACCGGAGTTAAAGGTGATTGTGAACTACTCAGTGTGGGTTCTGGGAATCATCCCACACTCAGATCTTCTGCAAGAGCAGCAAGCACTCTTAACTGCTGAACCATCTCCAGCTCTGTCGTGTGTTTTGACTGGCTTGATGTGTTCTAGCTCATAGCTTTTGAGGCCAGACATCAAAGTGGCATATTGCTGGTTTTGGCAAACGGCCCTTGGCTGTGTTATCCTCAGGGCAGATGATTATCGTGGTGGAAGTTAAGACCCTGTGGTCTAGTTCTTGGGATTATCAGATGAAAATTTGACTATTTTATTTATTTACTTATGTTTAAAACTTTTTTTTTTTGTCTTTTTGAAGCAGGGTCTCCCTGTAGCCCCAGCTGTCCTGGAACTCACTATGTAGACCAGGCTGGCCTTGAACTCACAGAGATCTGCCTGCCTCTGCCTCCCAGGTGCTGGGACTGCAGGTGTGCGCCACCATGCCCGGCTAACATTTTATTATTTTTATTTTATGTGTATGAGTGTATTGCCTGCATGTGTGTAGGTGTGTAGTGCCCGTAGAGGTCTGAAGAGGGCAAGGAATTTCCCTGGAACTGGAGTTACAGACAGTTGTTAGCTGTCATGTGGGTGCTGGAAATCGAACCTGGGTCCTCTGCAAGAGCAGCCAGTGCTCTTAACAGCTGAGTAATCTCTCTAGCCCCTATTTACTTTTTGAGGTGAGAGTCTCCATACATTGCCCTGGTTGGTCTTGAACTCCTAACTCAAATGATCCTTCTGCCTCAGCCTTCCAAGAAGCAGATATTTACCATTACTCCTGGCTAAAAATTCAATACTTACAAAATGCTAATAAAGTGGAAAGATGGGAGGACAGTGACATAGAACTGAAAATTCACTTCCTGGAATTAAGAATTTATTGAATTACTAGCAACCTGGGTATTTCAGAAGAATAGGTTGGAGAACGGGGAGGGGTAGGTCAGCTGATACTCTCCACGATAGAGCACTATTCAGTGAGACAAATAGTGATTTCAAGTAACACACAGGATAAGCTGGTACAGAATATGAGGTAAGTGCTGTGGTTGTTCTGGACTAGGGCGAAGGCAGGAGAATAATAAAAGGACAAGCACAAAAATTATTGTCTGTCATTACGGCAGATATACATTATCATAGTTAGGGGTACAACAAAAACTGGCAAGATTTTGCAGGAGACTGATGTGAATGTAGAAGTCGGAGAACTTCACACTAAACTAAAAATAGCTGTGAGGTGGGACTGGAGAAATGGCTCAGTGGTAAAGAGCACTGGCTGTTCTTGCAGAGGACCTGGGTTGGATTCCCAGCACCCACATGGTAGTCTGTCTGTAACTCCAGTTTCAGGGGAATCCAGTACCCTCTTCTGACCTCCACAGGCATTGCACGACATGGGTGCACTTACATACATGCAGGCAATGCACTCATACACAAAATAATAGAAAAAACTACGAGGCTTGCCACGAATCTATAGCCTTTTGTACCAGATAATCTGCAGTGTACTGCTTGTTTGCTGGCTCTAATTTTCTGACAATTCTCAACGTGGGTGCTGTTTTTTTACTCATGGAAGAAATACCCAAACTTCCATCTCCCATGGTAAAGTAAGCATCTAGCAGTGGGGTTTGGTCCAGGTCTGGCTACTCCAATGTCTATATCTTTCCACAGTACATTGAGTTGTTTCTGGCTTGTGAGGGCGGAGGGAAGTAGACAAGACGCCTGGACACAATTGGAACTTGGTGGAAAACGAAGTACTTGAAGATGCAGTGCTGGGATGCTCCTCAGGAGGGGTCCTTTAGGAGCCGCGGGCACCATAGCGGTGCAGAGCAGCAAGGCTAGCCTTGAGGTGTAACTTCTAAGATGGGCTGAACATGGGTGATGGACGGGTGATGGTTGATGTCATGGAAAGCAGATGGATTCAGTAACAGATGATGCTGAGAGCCTTACAGAATGCTCTTAAGTGTGAGGTAGGAGGAAGACTGGGTGTCCCCAAGGCAGAAAAAGAACATGAGTCAAGGAGGTGGGTGGAATGCTAAAAAAGTAGTTCCACAGAAATCAAGGGATGGAGGAGCTGAGGAGGTGATCTGTGAGAGCTCTTAGTAGACTCACCGTGTGCTAGATGTGAGCAGGCACGGCTCCTGCCCTCAAGGAGCGGGTTTTGAGGTGGAACGTGAGAAGGAGGAAAGGACAAGAAGGAAGGAGGAAGAAAGAACTGAAGAAATCAGTAGGTTAGTGCAGAAAGGGTCAGAGGCTAAGAAAGGCTGCTTTAAAATGAGGGTATTGGCTGCAGAGACGGCTCAGTGGTTAAGAGCACTGACTGCTCTTGCAGAGGACCCCGGTTCCAATCCCAGCACCCACATGGCAGGTAAGAACTGTCTGTAACTCCAGTCCCAGGGGACCTGACAGTCTCTTCTGACCTCCCTGGGCATTGCATGACGGGTGCACTTACTTACATCAGGCAATACATGCATACACATAAAAATAAAATTAAAAAAAATAAGGGGCTGGAGAGATGGCTCAGTGGTTAAGAGCACTGACCCAGGTTCAATTCCCAGCAGCCACATGGTGGCTACGAACCGTCCTTAACTCCAGTTCCAGGGGAATCTGACGCCCTCTTCTGACCTCCACAGCATTGCACGATACGGGTGCACTCACATACATGCAGGCAATATACTCATACACATAAAATAAAAATAAATAAAATATTAAAATAAATAAAATGAGGGTGTTAAAAAAATTAACCTGAGCTGGACATGGTGGCGCACGCCTTTAATCCCAGCATCTAGGAGGCAGAGGAAGGCAGATCTCTGTAAGATGGAGGCCAGCCTGGTCTCCATAATGAGTTCAAGGCAGTTGGGGCTACAGGGAAGAGCAGGAGTGGACCATTTCAGCTCAAAAGAACAGTTGCCGATATTTCAGGCAGTACCGAGCTTGGCGTGGTTGAGTTGACACCAGCGTAGTTCAAATTGGGTGAGCAAGGGGAGCTGATGACGAGCTGGGACATTGGGGACAGTTCAGTGAGAAGCCACTGACAGTCCTAAGAGGGACAGAGAGGTCGGATGTGGGTTTTTTAAAAAAGATGATTCTGGTACTGCATAGTAGGGCAGGAATGGAAGCAGCCTAGCAGCCTTGAACACTGGTGCACGGCCGAGAATTTGTAAGATGTGCATATTGCTTGTGAAACCACTAGAGATTACTCTTTATCTCTTTAATGCTTAGAAAAATTAGGTATTTAGGAAGGAAAGTTCACGCTGCTGGGCATTGATTACTCTTTTGGCTTATTCCAGTAAAAGAATCAGTGGGATAAAATTCTTTTGAATCATTGTTGAATTACCGGTTTCCATTAGAACATTTATTTCTATGATCAACTCTTAGAAGTTGGCAGCACTAGACGTATTGTAGCCCAGACTGGCCTCGAACTGAAGATACCCCTGCCTTCGCCGCCTCTGGCTCATGCTCAGGTCACAGGTGTGCCCCATACCTGGCTCGTGCTCAGGTCACAGGTGTGCCCCATACCTGGCTCGTGCTCAGGTCACAGGTGTGCCCCATACCTGGCTCGTGCTCAGGTCACAGGTGTGCCCCACACCTGGCTCATGCTCAGGTCACAGGTGTGCCCTGACCTGTGCCATGTTCCAGGTGTATCATCTTTATAAATAGTTTAGTGTGTACGTCTGTGAGCGTTGTATACATCCCACATTTTAGTGTTTCATTTCTACTCTTGCAGCTCATACAGAAGCAACAAGTGCTTGGGTAGTTTGCCTGTGAAAATTGTTTAGTGTGTTTATTAGTAGTGCCCTGTTTATTTAAAAGAGCTGTTGCGACAGTAAATTCTGTGGCTACCTAACGTGAAAGGGAAGCTTTTTCAGAGGATGGCAATTCTTTAATGCACCTTGGTGTGGAGTATTTTTTGAATACTGTGTCACTTTTCTGTTTTCTCTTTAAATCAGGAGAACAAGCCCTGGCATTCACTATTCCAAGAAATTATGTGTGGAAGCATGGCTCTCCATCAGCCATAGGAAGGAAGGATGCTGACATGTCAGGTGAGGAAGGAAGGCATCAGCTACACTGCCTGGGGTATCTTTCTTTTCTTCCTCCGTTCCATTCTGTGTCATGATTGGTTTAGTAATGCAGCAGAGACTTACACATCTGAACCAAAAGGATAATGTATGTGCTTTAGAAATGCTCTTCTTTCTGTGTTTCTTAGGATATTCTGACTAGATGTTATTACCTAACTTTAAAGGTTTTTAAAATGTTATTTAAAAATCTAAAAATTTTTATGTGTATGAATATGTTGCATGTATGTAAGTGTACCTATGTTGTGTAATGCGTGCAGAGGTCAGAAGAGGGCATCCAATTCCCTGGAACTAGAGTTATGGATGCTTGTTAGCCGCCATGTGGGTGCTGGCAACCAAGCCTGGGTTCTCTGTCAGAGCAGCCAGTGCTCTTAAACATGGAGCCATTTCTCTAACCCCACAGCCCCCCTCCCCGCCCCAGGGCAGAGTATGACACATGCTAGCCTTGAACTCAAGATCCTTCTGCCTCAGGCTCCCGAGTGCTAGGATGACTATGCCACCACATCTGGCTGTGATTTTTATTTTTGAAGATGTAAGTGAAAGAAATTGGAATTTTTTTTGGCATATTACTTGACTTTTAGATAACTTCAGTTTGAGAGAAAGCAGTGGGAGGCTTCTTTTAAAATTTGGTGAGGGAACCGACTATGAATGATGTTCTAAATTGATGGCCCAGGTCCCTGCACATCTTCTGTAGCATGGTAACACATTGTCTTCTGCATGCACTCATCTCCGTGGTGCCAGATTAGGACACTGAAGCAGGAGGCCCGACAGCTAGTCTGTCGCATAGGATAGGAAATAATGCATCTATTTCGAAGTATAGTGTTCTTTCCAAAAGACCATGTTACCATTTCTATTTTAAGAAGGAGCACATGATGTCTGCTAATGGAAGACAAATAGAAGCAACCGGAAAACAACTTTTGTCTCCTCCTCGGTGAAGATCAAAAGAGTTCTCTTCAACTCTTTTCAACTTTAAATTTAACAAATTGAGCATCTTAAAGTTGTTTTTTGTTAAGTAGTTCAGAAGGAGACAGCTACAAAGATTGGATGGGCTGTTGTTTCTCTTCACATGAGGATGATGCTGGGTCTTGGTTGGTAACAGGTTGTCCTGGGACTGGGGAGGCGGAGTGACCACCACCCTGGTCATAATCTTTTCAGGACTGACAGGACTCTCCTTTTTTAGCAGGCCTGATTGTTAGCACTGATACGGTGACACTGTCGGCACTGCTACGGACGGCACCGACACGGACGGACAACGAGGCTGGACTTGCAAGTTGCCAGCTGTTCTGCCAGCCACTGTGCAACGTAAAAAGAAGTTATGCGCATTGGCTGGTCTGCAGAACCGGGGGCTGTGTGCCATGGCGGTTGAAGTGGTCTGCTTGACCTCGGGGTATTTTTCCTGGACTCCATCATCATGGCACTCCTCCCTATTCCATCCACGATGCAGAACCTGTTCCTGTTTGATGACGATTAAGGACGCGCTCTTTGATGAACAGCCAGCGCTTAGGATCTGCCTGAACAGGGTCAGAGACCATTTGAGTCACAGCTGAGGAAAATGAAATTTCCATTTTATTTTGTGCCTTGTGCAGGGAGCACACTAACTCTTCCGGACACGTGTGAGTGAAAAAGAGGTTGAGTTTTGATAAATAGAAACTCAGGGTTATGGCGGGTGACCCGACGTGATCCGAGAGGGCAAGAGCCACCAAGAACTCATGACAGGCTATACCATGTTGCGGAATGGGGGAGTGGGGAATGGTGGTCAGACCTGTATGTTGCGCTGGTCCAACCGCATCCGGCTGACGTGGCTCAGTTTCACACTCTTCATCATCCTGGTCTTCTTCCCCCTTATCGCTCACTATTACCTCACAACCCTGGATGAGGCGGACGAGGCTGGCAAGCGGATCTTCGGCCCGAGGGCCGGCAGCGAGCTTTGCGAGGTGAAGCACGTTCTGGATCTCTGCCGCATCCGAGAATCCGTGAGTGAAGAGCTGCTGCAGCTGGAAGCCAAGCGGCAAGAGCTCAACAGTGAGATCGCCAAGCTCAACCTGAAGATCGAAGCCTGCAAGAAGAGCATCGAGAATGCCAAGCAGGACCTGCTGCAGCTCAAGAATGTCATCAGCCAGACGGAGCACTCCTACAAGGAGCTGATGGCCCAGAACCAGCCCAAACTCTCCCTGCCCATCCGGCTGCTCCCTGACAAGGACGATGCCGGCCTTCCTCCCCCCAAGGTCACACGGGCTTGCCGGCTGCACAACTGCTTTGATTACTCTCGCTGTCCTCTGACCTCTGGCTTTCCAGTCTATGTCTACGACAGTGACCAGTTTGCCTTTGGCAACTACCTGGACCCCTTGGTCAAGCAGGCTTTCCAGGCTACGGCAAGGACCAATGTTTATGTCACAGAGAATGCAGACATTGCCTGCCTATATGTGGTGCTAGTGGGTGAGATGCAGGAGCCTGCAGCCATACGGCCTGCTGACCTTGAGAAGCAGTTGCATTCTCTCCCACACTGGCGGACAGATGGACACAACCATGTCATCATCAATCTGTCCCGGAAGTCAGACACACAGAATTTATTGTACAATGTTAGCACAGGCCGGGCCATGGTGGCCCAGTCCACCTTCTATGCGGCCCAGTACAGGCCTGGCTTTGACTTAGTTGTGTCACCGTTAGTCCATGCCATGTCGGAACCCAACTTCATGGAAATCCCACCGCAGGTGCCAGTGAAGCGGAAATACCTTTTCACCTTCCAGGGTGAGAAGATTGAGTCCCTGAGATCTAGCTTGCAGGAGGCCCGCTCCTTTGAGGAGGAAATGGAGGGTGACCCTCCCGCCGACTATGACGATCGGATCATTGCCACCCTAAAGGCTGTGCAGGACAGCAAGTTAGATCAGGTCCTGGTAGAATTTACCTGCAAAAACCAGCCAAAGCCCAGCCTGCCTACTGAGTGGGCACTGTGTGGGGAGCGGGAAGACCGGCTAGAATTGCTGAAGCTCTCCACCTTTGCCCTCATCATCACCCCAGGGGACCCCCACTTGGTTATCTCATCTGGGTGTGCAGCACGGCTCTTTGAAGCCCTTGAGGTGGGTGCTGTCCCAGTTGTCCTGGGGGAGCAGGTACAGCTCCCATACCAGGACATGCTACAGTGGAACGAGGCATCCCTGGTGGTACCCAAGCCACGTGTTACAGAGGTTCACTTCCTGTTACGGAGTCTCTCAGACAGTGATCTGCTGGCTATGAGACGGCAAGGCCGCTTTCTCTGGGAGACTTATTTCTCCACCACTGACAGTATTTTCAATACTGTGCTGGCTATGATTCGGACTCGAATACAGATCCCAGCTGCTCCCATCAGGGAGGAGATAGCAGCTGAGATCCCCCATCGTTCAGGAAAGGCGGCTGGAACTGACCCCAACATGGCGGACAATGGGGACCTGGACCTGGGGCCGGTGGAAACGGAGCCGCCATATGCCTCGCCTAAATACCTCCGAAACTTTACTCTGACTGTCACAGACTTCTACCGCAGCTGGAACTCGGCTCCTGGGCCTTTCCATCTTTTCCCACACACACCCTTTGACCCTGTGTTGCCCTCAGAGGCCAAGTTCCTGGGCTCTGGGACTGGATTTCGGCCCATCGGTGGCGGAGCTGGGGGTTCCGGCAAGGAGTTTCAGGCAGCACTGGGAGGCAATGTTCCCCGGGAACAGTTCACAGTGGTGATGCTGACTTATGAGCGGGAAGAAGTGCTAATGAACTCCTTAGAGAGACTCAATGGCCTCCCTTATCTCAACAAGGTAGTGGTGGTGTGGAACTCTCCCAAGCTGCCCTCAGAGGACCTTCTGTGGCCTGACATTGGCGTCCCCATCATGGTAATCAGAAACGGGCAGTGTGTTTTACAGCACGACAGTGTCTCGTGCTTAATGCTGCTTCTGGCTTTTATTGCTTTAGCTGTTCTTGCTCGTAGTGGAGAGGGAGATGCACACACACACACACACACACACACACACACACACACACGTATGTGCTAGAGATAGAGCCTGGGGCCTTGTACATGCCAGTATAGTTTGTTAATTTGTGTATAAACCTCGATGTACTTTTTTCCCTATGAGATTTCTGCTTGCTGCTTTTTCAGGCTTTGCTGGCTCTGTTCCTGCTCCCCACTTTCCTAAATCCCCAAGTGCTTCCATGGTAGATACTGATACCAGACCCAGGAATGTTCTCAGACCTCCTTCAGTTAGCCCATGGTCATCTTCCATACTGGTAACGGTGCTGAGAAAGCTCTTACTGAGACTGGGGTCCAGGCACGTAGTGTGCAGTGCATGTTGTTATTACTGTTTCTCCACCTGCGGCATCTAGGGCTTAGAGAGGCTAGTTCCGAGACTGATGGAGGAGATGCTTAGTATGTCTGAGTCCAGAAGTTTCAGTTAGTCACTCACAAAGGGAATGGGATCAGGGATGAATGACACAGGTCATCTCCCAGTATGTTCTAGAAGCCTCTGGAAGATTGGAGCTCGAGTTTTTGCTACTTGGGAATTGAAGATCTTGAATCTTCTTTTCTCTTAGAATATCTTGCAGATCATTCCTCAAACTTTACTTTGGCTGTCGTGGTTACAGGGGCCGCTTTAGCTAAGTTGGGTAGGGCATGATTTCCGAGGACTTGGTGTGTTTACCTGCTGTGTGAAACTTGGCCATCTGGAGGGCAGAAGCCCTGCATCACTCTTAAACATCAGGTTGTAGAGCAGGTCTTAAAATGACCAAGCATTTACCCCACAGTGGGGGTACTTTCTAGAAAATAGAGCAAAGAATGACAAAATGTCTGATGGGCCATGGCTACAAGAAGCTTGCTCAAGAAAATGCCAAGTTTTAGGGATACTTTGTCTAGAAGGGAGGCTGGGTTAAGTCCAGGTCTTAAAACATTAATTTTTTTTTTTTTTTGAGAAGTAATTTTTAAGCAGAAGTAGTGTGAGGCAGTTGAAGAAATGTATGTTCCGTAAAAGGGGACATTTCTTTTATAGGTTTCCCCAAATAAATTACTTTCTCAATACACCTTACTGTCAACAAGGTTTGTTGTGTGTGTGTGTGCGCACACACGCGCGCACACTTGCTCTGCGGAAGGCAGGCACTGCTCATGTGGGATCTGGGAGCAGCCTTTCCTGCCAGTTTCCCCCAGTTTTCTTGGAGTTGGGTGAGGTGTGGGGGAGCTGCTGCCACCTTGTAAACAATGCCCAAAATCCACCAGAGAACTTGCCAGGACTAATCCTTTCTTTAACTCTGGTGGGAACTGAGTAGTCCTCTGGGATTTCTGGGCAGCCCATTACCATTAATACAATGCCTATTTGGAGGGGCCAGAACCTCTTCAAATAGAGGGTCATTCTAACATGCTCTCTGTAGCAGGCATGCAGTCTTTTCTAGTTATTTTAGAAAGGAGGAAAGAGTTTCAAGTTAGAGAATTTCAGTCTTGTTAAATATTTTGACTCTGCTTTCTGCTTAAGATAGGCAGGTGTTTAGAGCAGCAGTTGAAATTGCTGACCCCTTGGGTTTAGGCAGGTTTCAGGACTAGAGCTCCCTTGGCAGTTCCCTCCCCATAGGAAAAGGGCTCAATTATAATGTTTTTCAAAGTGGTTTTTCTACCTTGATGCAGACACAACCTATTCATTATGCTATGGTTAACAGGTCTTTATAAAATTGGCAGCAGGGTGCTTCCCAGGCCATCTCAAAGACTCTAGACCTTCAGGGAAGATGAACTGAAGTCAGCATACTGCCTACAGGAAACAGCCTGGGAATGTCCATGCCGTTGAAGAGAATGCTGGGCAGACTGTGATTCACATGTGCCCAGGTTCCCAGGCAGGCACGAGGCACAGGTGCTGGGTGTCCATCAGCTGTAGACCCTGTAGAATCCTAACTACTTAAGTGGAGGATTGTCTTAGGTGATACCTGGTAGATGGTAGGTCTTGTGTATTAAAATTCCCATTCTTTTCTAGTTACTTACATTTTAGGGGTTTCTGGCTTAGAGCAAAGAGGATGGTTATTGCCTCTGTTCTTGGACACTGGGTCCCTGTGCTCTTTGTAAAGAAAATCTCAGCTCTAGAGCAAGTGTCTGGACAAAGAGGCCGTTTTTGGAGAGATAGGAAGGGTGGGCTCTCCATCTGGGTGGTGTAGGATGACTGAAGAATGTGATAGTTGGGTGTCTGCTCTTCTCTGTCTCATACCTCCTTTGTAGATAGTGACCCTGATACCTCAGAGGGACAGCATAACTGGAAGGGTACCTAATGCAAGTCAAATGGAGAGCATTCCTGTGCCAAGAAGTTGGGTATCCTGTCTTCTGAAACTCCCCCCTCCTACTGATTTGGGGACCATCACTGTCAAAGATGCCTCACTGTTCCTGGTGACATGCCAGTCAGTGGCTTTTCATGTTTTTGTTTTCCTGTATATAACGCATGGTTTTTCTCTGGCTACTTCCAAGATTTTCCTTATATCTGGTTTTCAGTAGTTTATGTTATGCCATGGCATGATTTTCCTTGATTTTTATTTGGAAAGTGATGGTATTTTTGTGTTTTTGTAGGTAGCTGATTTGGCTGCACACAAATAGAAAGTTTGGGCTCTTGAATGGTTGCCCAAGTATCAGTTGAGTTGTGCTTAGCTGGCTTGCTTATCGAAGATCTCCAGGTTGCCTGGGGTGGGTGTGTACCAGAGGCCACTTGGAGCTCCTGCCTCCTGCTCTCTTCTTTCTGGAATTTCTAATCCTTTCTTCTCAAGGACAGCAATTGACCCAAACTCTTCCTTCTTTTTTTCAAGACAGAAAGACTGGGTTTTATGTGAAGGTCCCAGCTGCCCTTCAGGGCCAGGTCTGGCCTACGCAGGATAAAGCGGCATCAGCCCCTTGCTCTTTCTAGATATCAACTCCTTCCCTTCCATCTTTTGCCTTCCTTCAGGAGATTGGTTTTATTTAGTTTTACTTCTATTTTCATTTTTTGGTCTTTTTGAGACAGGGTCTCCCTGTAGCCTCAGCTGGCCTAGAACTCACTATGTAGACCAGTCTGGCC